TTGAGCTGCCAAGTATGAGCGATGGGCACCAAATTCAAGCCAACATAGCCCTTCCCAGAAGTCTGCCTTTGACAACTCCTCCTTGTCAAATCCAACAGTTTACATAGGATATATAGTGAATAAAGGGCTCTGAAAGATGAGAATGTAGAGGTGCTGTTTCCGCTGATAGCAGGAACACCTATCAACTTCCCACAGGGCTGACATTTCAGGCTGGCAGGGGGGAGATGATCACAGAGTTTGGGCGCTGCTGTTTCTGAATGGATGGCAGAGACTCTCAAGGCAAATCGCCTCACTTCTCACCACCTGCCTCCAAGAAGAGTAAGCGCTATGCAATGATACAACTCAAAAAAAAAAAAAAAAAAAAAAAAACCTTTAAACTTTTTTTTTTTGAGGATGTGGGGTTATTTGCAAAACAGGATCAGGGCCCTCAGGTGAATGGTTTATGGAACTCATGCAGGATTCTCCAGGCTTGAGCTTCTAGGCATTCAAATTTAATGCTTTAGGCACCAGAAACTCCATGATTTTTTTCCCCACTTCTGGAGAAACAGTTGGCTTTAGAATCACCGAATGCAGAAAGGAAAGGTAGTTGCAAGCAGCACATAGGTGCGCCCCCCCCCCCCCCGAAGCAGAGGCAGTACAGTTACCCTTTGATAGGAACATCCTCATTGAACATGCATAGGTAGGCCAAGGTACTAGCTTCCAGGCAAATAAAAGCCAAGACAAAGCCTCTTTTTGTGTTACTATGATGGAAAGAAGAATGCTTTGGTCAGAAAAGAGATTAGATAGTTAAGGAAACAGAAAAAAAGGACACAGAGATAAGCATTGACTGTACTTGTCTAAGTACCCCAAAGGTGAGTGGTTTGCGTCATTATTCTTGGTCTTGCCAGTCCTACTTGCAAAACTCCTCCATGAATGGACATGAAGGCAAGATGCTGTCATCCCGTTTTTAGTACCATTCATGATATCATCTCTATCTTAAATTCAATTATCAGATTATCTTAAGTCGTATATCATTTACATTTCACTAGTCTTTCTCTGGTCTAAATCCATGCGTACCAAACATGCTTTTGTTGCCACAAAGATTACTATCATGTGCAGAGCAATGGGTCTGGCATAACTTTGGTGATTTTCAGAGAAAATCAACAGAAGCTTCCTGATTATGAGTCAGTTTCCACTGGTAGTTTGCCCACCAGGGCAGAATGGCCTGAACCTGGGATTCAGTCACCTGATAACAAGAAAGTTAACACAACAGAGTTTCAATGAATTCCCTGCCATTCTGGTTTATACCTCTGTCTCATCTATAGTTGGTTTATTGTAAGTTTATCTCTCACAGACTACCACACCTATACCCTGAAAGAGTAAGTCTCTGAACCTTCAAAGCAGAGGGGTTCATCCCTGTGGCATTAATTAGACAAGATTCTCCTCAACCTTATTTTAAGCACAGAGCCTTTGAATAATATATGAAATTCTGAGGTTTCACTGTCATCCTTCAACAGGCCCAAGTCAAACAAAGGTATCTTATAGATGTCACTCACTACCTGCTAAGAAAACTCTATTTTGCATGGTACTATATAAAAAAATTGTTTTAAATTATATAGATCTGATACACACACACACACACACATGCAGAAATACACACACGCCTGTGTATACCCCTCAGTTTCAGAGATTTTGATAAAACATGCTCCACCTGGTGATGGTGATGGAGCTGACCATATGTGGTTGTGGGTGCATGCACACACAAACATGATTTCTATGCCCCTGAATGAGAGTGCATGTGCAAAAATAAATAAAACACAGGGAGAGAAGAACACAAGGGACTATGGTGATGGTGCACAGGTAAATCGGTGGTGGGAATTTTATGGGGGCAACACCTGAGAGGAGAAAGCAAACATTGTACAAAAGAGAACAAGGATGTAAAATATATATAAATAAATAAATTTAAATAAAAATAAATGAAACAAAATCTTTGCTTTCAAAGAGTTCTAATGAAGTGTAGATACATGCATTTATCCATGATACCACTCCCCTGCTCTGCCCCACATAGGCATCAGGGCAAACCGTGCAAAATCTTTCCACATCTTCCCATCACAGGTCAGATGCACTTACCATACAGCTGTCACTCTAGAGCCCAGGGTATCATGTGGGCAGGTCCCTTGGTGCAGGAGACTACAGACCAGTAAATGTTCTTCCCCTTCATCTGCTTTTTCCCCCTAAAACAGCTCCATAAGGACTCCAACCATCTATCTTGTCTTGTCTTGAGAGTGAAAATATAGTTAGAAACCATTTAAAATTTTCTTTATAACTATTACTCAAACTTAGAAATTGAAGCAGGAAATCTCTAGACACTTTCAATGTTTTCTTAAGCATTTTCTGCATAGTTCTTACCTCTGATAACACAAAAGTTAAGTTTCCCTCTCCCCCTCACCATAACTGTATTAGTAGGTAAATGGATAATCACTACCATAACCATAATCTATTCCAAAACTGTTGTGAAAAGCATTACCAGGGAAGTAGAAATTTAAAAAAAAAATGAGAGAAGTAATGATGGTTAAACAAATATCTCTTACAAAACTAGCATAAACTCAGTTAATCAAATCTTTATGACTACTTATTCAAACAACTTGTTCACGGAGAACATTTCATTGTTTAGAACACTTTTTTTAAAAAAAAAAGATTTATTTATTTATACAAGAACAAGGGTACAGATGTATGGGAGGGTGAGAGGATTCACCAGAAACAGAGCCGGGAACAGAACAGGCAGACTGACGAAATACACTGCTGAGGGGAGCAGCGGGCGAGACAGGAGAGGTCTGCCACTCCTTGGCCGGCTGGGATTGAACCCATACTGCAGAGGCTGTGGACAGCTTCACAGCACTGCGCTCAACCACCTGAGCCACCATGGGAGGCCCTAGAACACCTTTTTAATATGCTTCACATACGTAGTAGATCATTTAGCCTTCAAATAATGTTACAGTTCAGACAGGCTGAATAGGTTGTCCCAATTGAGAGCAGGGAGGAAGCATGTGTATGTTGTTGGGGACGGGGGTTATGTGTGTGTTTACAGAGACAAATCTAACCTTTGAATTTTGAACTTTCACTTCTGACCTTATGGTCTTTTCCATTTATCACACCACACAGCTTTCCGGAAGCCAGACCCATGATCTGCAAAGTGCTTTCAATAGAGAGTAACATACCAAATCCTTTCTAGTCTATTTTCCAACAGATTTTGTTCAAAGATTAAAGAGTTGATCAAATATGAAACATTACACAATGACTGTTCCCTTGTGTGGTAACCTAAGTCAACAATTATGAGGCCTACTAAAAGCCCAATTAAAGAGAGATATATTGAAAATTAAGACTAATGAAGACCTAGAAAGAAAACTAATAATATAAATTGGATGGGAAGCATAAGAAAAATATTGATATTTTCAAAGATCATTCTTTATTATAAATACACATAATTCCACTTAAGACAAAAAAAGATGAAATTTATATGACTTATTTGTGCTTGTAGGTTTGTGTACTTATACATCTATTGTGAATTTTTTTTTAAAGATTTATTTATTTATTTATACAAGCACTGGGTAGAATCAGAAGCACGGGAGGGTGAGAGAATTCACTAGAGCCAGAGGGGAGCAGAACAGGCAGACTGATGAAGTACACTGCTGAGGGGAGCAGCAGGGGGCAGGAGAGGTCTGCGTGCTGTGTGGGACGGGGATGGAACTGGTGCTGCAGAGACCGTGGCAGCTTCGCAGCCCAGCGCTCAACCACTGCGCCACCAGGGGAGGCCCTATTGTGAATTTTTATGTTTACATATTCATGTTTTAATGTAGAAGCAAAATGAAGTATCACTGGATGTTAGGTCTAAGTCTGAGGAACATTCTCAATTTATTATTCCACATATGATTACAAAGGTGTAAAGATACCTTTACGATGATGGCCAATCTGGTGATACTATCTTACTAAGTGGATCAAATTTTACATCACAATAATGTGGCATTCTGAGATTATATATTTATGATATACTGTAATGTGAAGGACACATGACCAAAAGTGGTTTATCTGAATCTAAGAATGAAAAGATAATAGATAAGACAAAGACAAGTCAAGGTCTGTGAACCAACCAACCCATACTCTTCAAAAAAAAAGCCAATTATATAAAAGAAAAAAATAATGAAAGATTGCTTCTGTTTTATTGAAAGCTGGGAATGATAGTAGAATGTAGTGTTGGTCTTTGTTTAATTTCTGGATCAAAACCAAAATAGTTATAAAAGATATTATTGGGAAAATTGGAGGAATTCAAGTAATGACTACATATTAAAAGTATTGCTGTATTACAATCAAAAAAGATAAATACATGCAGTTTGCAGCAACATGGATGGAGCTAGAAGGGATCATGCTCAGCGAATTAAGCCAGAAAGAAAAAGAAAAATACCAGATAGTCTCACTCATAGCAGGAATTTAGAAAATTTGAATAAGGGACCAGGAAAAAGACTAATTATAATAAAGTAAAAATCAAAATCAACAAGCAACTATAAACCAGAGACACACTATGGGGGTGGGGAGGGGTGCAGTGAGGGGAGGGAAGAGGAAGGATTAGGGTCAAAATAAGGGGGGGGGTACAATTTTATGGGGAATATAACCAAAATAAAAATGCATACATTGTGCAAATATGAAAAATGATGTAAGAATTATATAAAATAAAATATTAAAAAAAGGTATTGCTGTATTAATAGTAAATTATGGGATATAAAAATGGATTTTGGAGATTTGGAGATCATCTTGTTATAGGAGATCATATTGTAGTATTATGGAGTGAAATATCATGAGATCTGCAAACTTATTTCCAAACTGTTCAGAAAAATCATGGATTAAATGAGTTAAAACTAAGATGGCAAATTGTTAGCAATTGGTAAATCTAGGTGAAGATATGTAGACAGCCACTGAACTATTTTTCTACTTTTCCAAAACCTTTAAAAATAAAAGTTGGAAGAAATAAAACCAAATAAAATTATTATTTAGATCCTTTATTTATATACCCATTTCACCAATATTGAAATGTAGGCTTGGAATACATGAAATCATTCTTTTTATAGATTTAGAATGTGAAATTCTAAATGAATGTTACAAATCATAATAAAAATTTACAACACAGTATATAACAAAAGACTGAAGCATTTTAAATTTCTAGTGCACAAGAATAAAGGCTGTTGATGATATTAATATTCAAAATATATTTTCCCCAGTTCTTAATTTCTCTGCTCCCCCTTACTTAAAATCTAAGAAAGTATTCACTATAAATTGAAAATAAAGAATTGTCAGAAAATAATTGGTTCATGAGTTGTAGGCTTCTCCTTACAGGTACAATTTATTCTTCAGCAAACTGTAAGCCATTGAAAGGGTCACTCCATATCCAACAAAAAAAGCCAAAGCTCTATTTGGCTGGGGGAGGGGTAACAAATACGAAATTGTGTGGTAGATCCTGGCTCCCACGAAGAGTCGGAAGTGGAGAATGGCTGTAGACAGATCTGGGCCACTCAGGGAGTACAGAAGGCCAACACCAAGGAATGGCACGATGTTTTCAAGATCATTCAGGTGAGCTCTGTGGAAGGAGATGAGAGTAAAACACTCATTTTAGAAAGTATCAGCAGAAACATATTCATTTCCCTTCTTCTAAAGCTAAATGTAAGAGTGAGTGGATCTTAAAAATGCACAGTAAGATTCATTTTATTTCTCTCAAATTGCTTTGCTTCCTTACTCACTTGGCTGTTATTTAGACTATCTCATTATTTTTGTTTCTTATTATTTTTAGTGTATCTTGACAAACAATAGATAAACCATTTACACTTCTAAGAATATCAAAACTACATCTATATAATGATACTCCATTTTTTTCTTCTAAAGTTCATACATTTATCAATTCAAAAATCCTTTTAGTTATGATCTTTCTAAGACTCTTTCTTCAGTTCTGCTAGTCTGTGAAATGATTATGGAGACAATTCTAGCCCATTTACCCAAACCACTACATTGGCAAGATTTGATTCCCCTGCCGGCCAGGGAGATAACCACATGGCACGCGGCAGACCTTTCCTGTCTCACCCACTGCTCCCCTCAGCAGTGTTTTCGGTCCGTCTGCCTGTTCTGATCCCGGCTCTGTCTCTGGTGAATCCTCTCACCCCCCACGCCTCTGGCCTGTACCCCAGTTCTTGTATAAATAAATAAAAAATATTTAAAAAAAAGATTTAAATCAAGAACTACCAGTTTCTGAATAGAATCAAAAACAGAGTGTGTAAGTGTTCCTTGTCCCCTCTCAACAACACAAGGGCTCCTAAGAATCATGTTGTCCAAAAAGGAGACATTTACTAGTAGTTACTATTAGAGAAGAATCTACTCCAGTTATATGAAGGCATTTGCTTTGCTCCTCTGAATTGTTTAAGCACAGGTGTATCTCCACCTCCATCTTGGTCATGTTAGTTTTCTCCCTCACAACATTCTAAAAGGACAGAAATACGAATATTGGTTAAGAAAAGATAAAAGTGAGACACTGTGGAAAATAATACCCACCTGGAAGTCTACATTAAGCAACTGGCAAAAAGAATGCAGTGTTAAAACAGAAAAGAAAGGCAAGGGCATTAAGAGGTAAAAGCTTCCTGGGACCTCCACCATTGCTCAGAGGTTACGCTCATCACTATCACTGCCACAGACTGAGTTTGATTCCCAGCCAGGGAACTGACCCACATGGCACAGCAGACCTCTCCTGTCTCGCTCAATGCTCCCCTCAGCAGTGTATTTCAGTCAATCTGCCTGTTCTGTTCCCCACTCTGCTCCCCACTCTAGTGAATTGTCTCCCCCCCCTACACCTCTGGTTTACACCCTAGTTCTTATATACATAAATAAATAAAAATAAATCTTTAGGGGCCTCCCTGCTGGCACAAGGTGTTAAGATGCAACCTATGAAGCTATCCATAGCCACTGCATCATGAGTTCGATCCCGGGCAAGGGAGCTACCCATATGGCACAGCAGATCTGTCCTGAGTGGCCTGCTGCTGCCCTCAGCAGTGTATTTCAGTCAATCTGCCTGTTCTGTTCCCCACTCTGTCTCTAGTGAATCCTCTCACCCCCACACCTCTGGCCTGTACCTCAGCTCTTGTATGCATAAATAAATAAAAAAAAAATTAAACAAGGGCCTCCCCTGTGGCGCAGCTGTTGAGCGCTGGGTTGCAAAGCTGCCCGCAGCCTCTGCAGCGCCGGTTCGATCCCCGGCTGCTCCCCGGTCACCGGAGGAGGGTCCCACATGGCGCGCAGACCTCTCCTGCCGCCCGCTGCTCCCCTCAGCAGTGTACTTCGGTCCTTCTGCCTGCTCTGCTCCCCACTCTGGCTCTAGTGAATTCTCTCACCCTCCCACGCTTCTGACTGTACTCAGTGCATGTATAAATAAATAAATAAATCTTTAAAAAAAAAATCCCCTTAAAAAAAAAAAATTAAACAAAATCTTAAGAAAAAGTGGCAAGAGCTTCCTGGGGCAAAAGGTTTGGAAAGTCAAGTTTTCCTTTAATCTTACTGAACCCACCATTTTTTCTAGCCACCCTCTCTCTATTCTATTTCTCCTTTCCAGTGCTCTCCCTTTCCTCCACCCCCAAAATGTTCTTACAGATAATACTCCTCATTGTCCTAATAAGGCATGTCATCAACCTACCCTCATCCTCTCTAAGTTAGTTGATTTAAAAGGTGGTCTTTCTAGAACCTGCCCTAGGCATACCTTACCTCATAAGCACCTGCTCTAGGTCAACATCACACATCCACTGTAAGCCTCTCTGCTCCAACCACAGCTCACCTGATAGTACAGCTTCCTTCACTTTTGTGCTATTTCTAGATGACTACTAATATCGACTATCAGTGGATATCAGCCTTTATGTATGATGACATTTTTTACATGGATCTACCTCTCAGAACCAAGATTTTGTGTTCCCACTTTATCCTTTGGACAAATGCCTCTTGGCACAAGCTTGCGCTGCAGCATATCTCCCTTCCAGCTCTGCTCAGTGCTCATGGGGTTCAAGCCACACCTCCCTCCCTCAGATCAGAGCCACTGAGATCTCAGCATCAACCTGACCTGGATCAGAGTTACCAGGGTCCTTTGAGAATTGTCAAGAGTTGGCCAGCAGCAAAAGGAGTTTCACACTAGTCTTTTTCTGACTCCCTTATCCAGCCAGAATGCTTCGTTCTCAGCATAGAGTCTTATGTCCAAATGCCTAGAAGGAACTTTTCTAAATTGACATGATTTCTCCTCTCCAATTTCTCCTTCCATCTCCTACTAGCCTTCATGTTCTTCCTTCATGAAATATTCCTATATCCTAGGAAATTATATTTCAAACTGCACAAATTTAACCCTGGCGGGAAACTGCTTTACATCATTCTCTAATTACAACATGCTTTTGGAAACTCAGTCTTAAAGTTCATTTATAGCAGCATCTCAGTAGAACTGGTGACCGTGAGACACACACAATCACCTCTCAAAAAATGATTTATTCATGCATTGGGGCTAGAAGGGTAGTCACCTACTTCAACTCCTAGCCCATGTTGCTGTCCCTTGACACAATCCCCTGGGATTATCACCCAGTCTCCACTGAAGCGCCCAGTGAGGAGGTTGCTCTTCCTTTGCAGGCTGTGTATTCAAAATGTCTTTCTCTTCCCTCAATACCAAACCTAAGCCCTCAGTTATTTTCTTTGAATGGTTCCCTTTATTTCTCCAGCTGACCTGAATGCCTTACGACTTTCTTTTTATTGTGTTATACTGCATGGATATATTCTTGAATTCTTTCTAAAACAAGATGAGATAGGATTAAATAAATAGGCAAAATGCCTTTTAACCATCACTGATTTGTACCTGTCCAAAACTCAACTTACAATTATATATACTATTTCAAGACATATTACCTTATGTCTTTAAATAATTGTCACAAATATGTATGTGTTAATTTTCTGAATATAGCATACCTGGAAGCATGCCTGTCATTTTATCTGTAGCCCCATTCAGTCCCTGGAATATGCTAATAGAAACATCTTTACCATTACATGCTGAAATAAGAAAAACGTATTAAAATGTCTAGATAAAAATAAAAAGAGATTCTGGAAAATACATCTCTTAAAAGAATCTCCAAAAGCAAATTGCTACTAGGAACTTTTTTGATGAGTCCAGTAAGGACTCAAAAATTACAACAGGAAACCAGAACCCTTGTCTTTCTTGGCAACTCTTTCCTTGCCACACTGAGAAGCCAGTGTCGGATCACCAGGGGGCACTGTGCACACAATCACAGCATCTCAAGGACACCAACTCCTTTCACAGCAAAGGTCAATTGTTCTTACTGAAATGTTACTTATTTGTTCATAACTTGACTAGATCTGCTTATATAATGGCTTTCTCCTTGGGAAGAACTATCTCATGGACACAGGGTGGGTGGAATTAGGACATGCGAAAGGAGAAGCTGGGAAGAATCTAAAATCCCAAAATAAAATATCTTTTGTTAAGCTTTCTCACATGGGACTTGAATCTCCTTTCAATCTTACAGGTAGTACTGAGGGTTAAAATGTTAACACTTTCAAGTCCTAGGCAATTTTATGACCACAGGGTTATGATTAGCATCATCTGGGATGCCTGCATAGGAGGCGATGCACAGAAAGGACAAGGCAAAGCTTTAAACTGCTTGATGTCTCTTTAATGGTTCTGGTAACCCAACAAAACTTTATTCATCTTTGCCAAATTCTAATGTGTTTCATCGTATTAAGACTTATGATTTCTCTTGTGATAGTGTTTGTAAATTTCACACTTAATTCTTTGTTTTAAACTATTTTAGATCCATATTATTGGCATAATTTTTAGCACTGGCTGATTTACTCAGTAGGACTGCCGCAAAAGCAAACATGTAACTAAGTGAAGCCAAAGTTAAAATAATATTCTATCTACAGACTTCCTCTTAGAAGAAAAACATTCCTGCATGATAAATAAGTTGAAGTTAAATACTTTTGCATAAGTAAAGCATCTGAATTTAATTTTGGTACTGGCAGAGCAGAAGAGTCCATGAGGCAACAATCCATATAATGAAGTAACTCTGGGTATTACCTGAGGTGAAGAAGGCACAGTGCAACCTCCCAGTGGAAGGATGTGGAGGACACTGGCAGAGAACAAAGTCTATCACACAACTTGAACAGTTTGTGTTGACATAGTGTGAACACCTCTGCACCTCAATTTATTCAACTCTATTTCTAGTAATTTTTTTCAGTTGATTTGTCAAGGGACTCGAGAAAGAGGCTAAGTTTGCATGAGCCTAACAAAACTCTGCATGTTTGCAGAGTTTGCAAACATGCACAAATAGGGGAACCCAGCTAGAGTTCAACTTGAGACTATATGCCATAAAGAAATCTACAGAAGTGTTAGGGTCACCTCAGATTTCTATAGGAGATAAAAAAAGGGGTAATGCTGTTATCTAAATCCTAAAGAGATGAGAGAGTCCAGATGACATTTGAATTATAGAAATAAAATTATTTTCCTCCAGTATCCATTCCACTATCTATTCACACTCACCAAATTGGGGAAGTTACTCAAATATATGCTTGATGTTTTCTATATTAAATATTCATCAGAAAACTAAATATCTGTATGTTTAGTGTAGCTAAAACAATCTTGTCTACAGTTTCTTTAATTTTATGTAACTTTGCCTACTCTTTGAAATGTGCCTAACATGAATTGTATCATCTAATTTGGACAAGCATCAGAAAATATTAGGTTAGAAGATGCAATATCATTTCGATTATTCTTTATTAGGAAAAGCTAACTACTGGATTGACAATAGAATATCAATAACAAAAAAATTAACGGTGGGAGTAGGGGGGAAAGTCAACCAAGATGGAACATAGGAGGTTCCGGAATTCTAATCTTTCCAAAGATACACTGAATGCAGAGCTATTCATGGAGCAGTTACTTCTGAAAGAAATCCAGAAACTAGCTGAGCAACTCCTACGCAAAGAAACAGTCAATAAAACAAATAACCTACAATGAAAGGGGTAGGAAAGGTTGAGACACACTCCTGCTATAAATCCCAACTCCCGGCACAGTATCATAAAATTGGGAGGAAATTCTCAACTACCAGCTTCTCCCCAAAGAGCAGGGTTTGGATTCCATATTTAGTGCCCTAACGTTTATGACTCCCATCTAAAGGACAGGCTTCCAAATCACCTAAGTCTGAAAGCTGAGGAGGATTGCATCCATGAGACCCACACGATTATAGTAAATAAAAAAAGTTAACAGGTGCACAAGACTTGCTGTGGCCATGCACAGCACATAGAGAGCGGGCAATTTTGCCTACCAGTCTGTCCCTGAAAGGTGTCCGTCCATCTACATTTGAGACCTGCTGTCTGAGGGTAATGTTTCTAAACTAGCACACATGTAGGGCCTGGCTGCAGTGTACCCAGAAATGGAGAAACTGACATCTACCTTACCAACCATCTGTAGTCCATCCGAAGTCACTTGTATTTCCCTGGAAAGGGCCTGAATACACAGCTGTAACCCAGATTTTTGCTAGCACCCTAACAAAGATTTTTGCTAGCACAGCTGTACCCCAGATGTTTGCGAGCACTCCCTGGGTGTCCTAGATCTGATAGCAAACAGGGTTTCCATTCTCAAATCCCAAACAGTGGAGAAAAAAAAAGGGGTTCTTAAATGGTTATCTCTCCAGGGCTTAGCACAGAGGAAACAGGCAAATTTGTCTATCTTCCAGTCTTTTCCTGAAAGGGATCCATTTGGACACTTTAAAAGCTGCTACAAGAGAGTGGGTTTCCAATCGACACACATCTGGTGTCTGATTTTATCCCAGGGAGCAAGGAATCAACAGGACTTCCTTCTGTAGTAAATAAAGAAGCATTGTTAATGGGTGCAGGGGCACCCTCTCACAACAGCTACACATGTGAGCCCAGCACAGAGGGAACAGGTAAAAACACCCAAATCCTGGCTTCTCCCTGGAAGGGGATTTACTCTGTACTTTTCCAGCTGCTGTGTGAAGGTTCAGCTTCTGCTAGGTCTTGACTGCAATCCTCCCTTTCCATACAGATGGAAAGTAAAGATATGGAAAAAATATTTCATGCAAATGTAAGTCAAAAGCCAGCAGAATAGCTATACAGTTGACCCTTGAACAACACAGGTTTGAACTATGTGGGTCCACTTAGAAGAAATTTCTTGTAAATAGATCTTGTAAATATTTTCCCTTCCTTAAGATTTTCTTACTAAAATTTTCTTTTTTATACCTTATTTTAATATAAAAATAAAATATATAATACAGATAACAAAAAATATTTATTAATGGATTTCATGTTATCAGTAAGGCTTCAGGTAAACAGTGGGCTCTTAATAGCTAAGTTTTGGGGATTCAAAAATTTAGATGTGTAATTTTAACCAAACAGGGGGTCAGCACACGTAGCCTCCACATTGTTCAATGGCTAACTGTATTTATATTAAACAAAGCAGACTTTAAGGCAAATACTGTACCAAGAGTATGAAAAGATTGATAATAATAAAGGAGGGCATTTCCACAAAGGATATAACATCAGCAAATATTTATACATCCAATATAGGCGCATATGAATATATAAAGCAAATATTAACAGAACTGAAGGAGAAATAACAATAGGGACATCTATACCCCACTTTCAACGATGAACAAATCATCCAGAGAAAATCAACAGAGTACATTGGATTCAAACTACAAACCAGTCCAATGGACTTAACAGACATTTACAGTATTTCATGCAAAAGCAGCAGAATTACATTCTTCTCAAGCACATGAGGAACATGATCCAGGACAGACCAAAACAAGCCTTACTATATTTAAGACATTTGAAAAGTATATCAAGCATCTATTCCAACCACAGCAGCATGAAATTTGAAAGCAATTTTAAGAAGAAAATTAGAAAATTCATAACTATGTGGAGATTAAACATCATGCTACCGAACATCCAATGGGTCAAATAATAAATCAGGAAAAATTAAAATATATCGTGAAACAAATGAGGACAGACACAACATTTAAAAACTACGGAATGCAACAAAAGCATTTCTAAAAGGCAAGTTTATAGTGACAAACCCTACATTAGAGAAAAAAGAATGATTTCAAATAAAAAACCTAATTTTATATCTCAAGGAAGTAGAAAAAGAACAGATGAAGGCTAACATTAGTAAAAGGAAGAAAATGGCAAATATTAAGAGAGTACTTAGATGAAATAGAGACCAAAGAGATAATAGAACAGATCAGGGAAACTAAGAGCTGGTTTTGCATTGTACAAAAAGGAAGAATGATGTAAAATAAAATTAACAAAATAAAAAATGTTTAAAAAATAAATTAAAAGAAAAGAAAAACAAATTAGACAAACTTGCAGCTAGATTTGCCAGGAAAAAAAAGAGAGAGAGAATTCAATAAAGTAGAATGGAAAAATCTAGCCAATACCACAGAAATATGAAGGCTCATTAGAGACAATATACAAATTAGAGGCAATATACAATATACAAATTAGAGGCAATATACAAATTGGGCAACCTAGAAGGAAAAGATAAATTCTTAAAAATGTACAACCTAGCAAGATCAATGATTAAGAAACAGAGTGTGAACAGATTATTATTAGAAAGAAGATTGAGAAGGTAATCAAAAAACTCCAACAACAAAAGTCCACGACCAGCTGGCTTCATTGGTGAGTTCCAACAAATATTTAAAGACTTAGTATCAATCTTTTCACCCTCTTGCAAAAAAAAAAAAAAAAAAAAAAAAGGATAGAGAGAGAAAAAAGAAAATTTCCACATTTATTACCCTGATGCCAAAGCCAGACAAGGCCAATATATGCACTAAATGAAAAGAAAATTACAGGTCATTATCCCTGATAATAGATATAAAACTTCTCAACAAAATATTTCCAAAGCAAATGCAACAGTTTAACCCATTGGGATTTGGAAAGAGATTGCATTAAGTCTGCAGATCAGTTTGGGAAGAACACTATATTGAGTGGAGAAAGAAATCTTGTCACTTGCTACAACCTGGGTGAACCTGGAGGGTATGATGCTAAGTGAAAAAACAGGAAAGAGAAAGACAAATACTATATAGTATCACATATCTAAGGGATCTAAAAAGGAAAAAATAAGTAAAACTCATAGAAATAAACAGCAGAAAAGTAGTCACCAGGGGCTAAGCATAGATGAAAGAGTATAAATTTCAATTATAAGAGGAATAAGGTCTGAGGATCTTAAGTGTAACATGGCAACTACAGTTAGCACGTACTGTATAACTGCTGAGCGTAGAACTGAAATGTTCTCACCCAAAAAAAAAAAAAAAAAAAAAAAAAGGTGGGGGTGTAAATACATGCGGTAATGGATGTCTTAATTAACTCCATGGGAGAATTCTTTTATGATGTATATGTAAATCAAATCATATCTTACCATTTTGTCAATTATACCTCAGTAATGGTAAAAAATAATTTCTTTTTAATTTACATGACTTCATGACAAGGATTATGACATCAAGAACTAGGATCCAACATTCTTTAAAATAAGTATCTTAATTGTATTGATAAGAGGCTGTGTAGATTAATTTTCAGTACATTAAACATTATCTACAAGGAGAGAGAGGAGATACTCCCAAGTTCATATTTTGCATCTTATGCAAAATAATACCTACTTCTTAAACACTAGCTCTGGTGAAAGACGACAAAATGACAAAATCTACCATTTACCTATCTGTGATTACTTTTTATATATCGCTATACAGAACAAAATCACTAACCTCAACAAAATGCATGTAAAATATAGCCAAATGTAACATTATGTGCAATTGCAGCAAGAGTTGGAGACTTTTAGAGCCCTAATTTCTTATGATTATTAGGCGGACTAGGTAAGATAACTGACTTTTCTTTCTTCATCAAGACCCCAACATTCTCACTGAACTCCTTGTCCAAAATTGTTTGATGGAGAAAATAATTGCAGGTGATAGTGGGTTTACCTTCGTACACGTTCCACGCTGTCATCTGTCCGAAGGTACTTCTTGGCATTTTCTCCTTTGCCAAAGCTTGCACAGTCTTCTGGGTTGGCAAAAACCTGTATCAAATACCAAGGGGCAAAAGTTATTTCAAATACTAAATAACACAGGGGCATATTACTTCACAAGTTATTTGCATTTTAATGGAAGAAATGCAGGCATTCAGATTGGTCTTTATGGAAAGAAAATTTGGAGCAATAGATCAAACACAGAAAGATAGGAGAGAATCTGTAGTTTAAGCCTGAGTTTTTATTAGCAGTGTGAAATTTTAAAAGAGAGAAACATAAATCAGAATTTAAATTAAAACCAATCTATAAAAATAGTGAAAATGAAGAAAAATGGAAAAAAAAGGGCATAATTCCTAGTCACCACCGACTATTATGGTGGCAAGGTGGCAAGTTATCATAGTGATGGTGATGCACTTTCCCTCCAGGGTATCAGCATTTCCAATCCATTAGCTCATCTGAAATTCTTACATTTTCTGCCAAGGATATAAGGGAATAGGCAAGAAATATAGGGAGTGTAGGATATTATGGAAGAGACTAGAAGCATAGAGTGAAAGGCAGGAAATGTATTTGGTGCCTTGTTGTTACCTCTTTTCTTTTTCTGAATTAACTAAATCTTTGGGTTGAAGTGAAATGCAAGTGGTTATATTACTTTCCTTTAATACCATGTACTCAACTCGAGCAAATGTTCATGTATTCCTTCTTGCAATGACTGTGCTGTTTGAGATGATTTCTCATTCCTTGAAACTTAAAACATGTATTTAAAAAATATTTAAGTATGTTCCACTGATCAATAATCTAATGTAAATTGAACTACAAAATTGGCCTTAATGTAAGCTTAAAAATCTCAAAATAGGACCTCTCCTGGTGGCGCAGGTGGTTGAGCGCAGCGCTGTGATGCTGTCCCAAGCCTCTGCAGTGCCAGTTCGATCCTGGCCAGCCGGCGAGGGTCCCACATGGCACGCAGACCTCTCCTGTCCCGCCCGCTGCTCCCCTCAGCAGTGTATTTCATCAGTCTGCCTGTTCTGTTCGCCACTCTGTCTCTGGTAAATCCTCTCACCCTCCCACGCATCTGGTCTGTACCACGGTTCTTTTATGAATAAATAAATAAATAAATAAATAAATAAATAAATAAATAAATAAATAAATAAATAAATATTTTTTAAAAAATCTCAAAATAGTATATTTTTCTTAATATAAGCATCTATCCCAGATAAAGAAGTTGAGAAGACCTGATGGGCAGGGATGTGATTCTGCATGAGCTGTTGAGGTCAAGTGTGTCTCTCTTGTTCTCTAAATAAATGCCAGCAAACACTAGATGCTCAATAAATATATTTTAATATGTAAATAAGTGTGTTACAGTAGCAAGTGTGCAAGATTTGGATATAAACCAAATCTTTGCATTTCAGCCTCACCCTTTAGTGATATATAATCTTGGGTAAGCTATTTAACATCTCTGACTTTGAGTTCCTCATCTGTAAAATGGGGAGACTAATGCCAACTTACATGACAATTCTGGCAACTGTATACAGTGATTCCATGATCTGGTGCACAGACAGCTTCATGGCTCGTAGCACGTCTCACAAGCACTCCACAATTTTGAATTAATTTCTTTTTAAAAAAGATTTATTTTTATTTATTTATGCAAGAACCAGGGTATAGGCCAGAGGTGAGGCAGGAGGTGGGGGGGCGTGTTGAGAGGATTCACCAGAGACAGAATGGGAAGCAGAACAGGTGGAACTACTGAAATACACTGCTAAGAAGAGAAGTGGGTGAGACAGGAGAGGTCTGCTGCGCCATGTGGGTTAGCTCCCTGGCTGAGGATTGAACTAATGCTGCAGTGCTGGTGATAGCTCGATAGCACTGACTTTAACCCCTGAGCCACCATGGAGGCCCTGAGTTAATTTATTTTCTCATTCCTGCTCTCCTTAGTGCCACTGCTGTTTCCAGAGGACATAGTCTGCTGCTCTAATGCCTTGCCCCATTAGAGATTTAAATAAGTGAGTGTATAGCTCGTTAAATAGATATATCCTTGGGAAACAATTATACCATAAGGCAGTAAAAAGGAAATATCTCAGGGAGGATTGTGACCTCTGGATAAAAGCAGACTGCTGTGGGGCAAAACTCAGGCCAACTAAGAAGAGAAATAGGAGGTTTCGAGGAAGAAGAAGTTGCTGCCTAGGCACAGGAACCACATTGCTGAAAATCGTTGACCTGTACCCCTTCATTGTGTTATAAACCCTGTTGAGTACAAGGTATATCCTCCATAATCTTTCTACCACTTTCCCCAGGCCTCTGTATTTTTTTTAAGATTTATTTTTTTTATTTAAATATTTTATATAATTCTTACATCTTTTTTCATCTTTGCACAATGTATGCATTTTTATCCTGGTTATATTCCCCAAACAATTGCATCTCCCCCCTTATTTTGACTCTAGTCCTTCCTTTCCCCACCTCTCCCCCATAGGGTGTCTCTGGTTTATAGTTGCTTGTTGATTTTGATTTTTACTTTTCATCTATTAGTCTTTTCCCTGGTCTCTTACATAGGTTTTCTAAATTCCTGCTATGAGTCAAGAAGATGTGGTACATATACACAATGGAATATTACTCAGCAATCAAAAAGATAAACACATGCAGTTTGCAGCAACATGGATGGAGCTAGAAGGGATCATGCTCAGCGAAATAAGTCAGAAAGATTTATTTATTTATTTATTTATTTATTTATTTATTTATTTATTTATTTATTTATTTATACAAGCACTGGGTACAGTCAGAAGCACGGGAGGGTGAGAGAATTCACCAGAGCCAAAGCGGGGAACAGAACAGGCAGACTGACAAAATACACTGCTGAGGGGAGCAGTGGGCGGCAGGAGAGGTCTGAGCGCCATGTGGGATCCTCGCCCGGCAGCCAGGGATTGAACCAGCGCTGCGGAGGCTGCGGGCAGCTTTGCAACCCAGCATTTAACCTCTGTGCCACGGGGGAGGCCCAGGCCTCTGTATTTTTAAAAACATCATTCTTACAATGCTGAGTAGAAACATTATCATTTTAAGGATTACATAAAATTCACATGCCTTGTGTCAATCATAAGTGACTCTATTATGGAAACAAACTTTAATTTTATCCCCAAAGGTACTATCTTTGACCTATCATAGAGTTGAACATAGAGTTGAACAGCTAACTCTCTGGAAAATGACTCCTTTTAAACTCTAGTTGACAAGATTAAAAATCAGAGATTCCTTGAAAATGTTCATACTTTAGAAAACTCACATGCTAAGCAGCATGACAAAAAGGTAAAAACCACAAGAAAAAAAAAAAACATTTAGCAATTTCAGGGAGAGAGCACCTCGTCCATAAATATATCAGATCCATCTGTACCAAATGACTACACATTTATTTACAGCATTAAACAATATGTCACTGGGCTTTACCAAAAATAGTAAATTTAGTGGCATTTTTCACAATAGTCAAGTAGTCATGGAACAAACCCAAATGCCCAACAACAGATGACTGAATAAAGACATTGTAGAATATATATTGGATAGAATTACTCAACTACTGACCCCCTTAGGGACGAAATGGATTGATCTTGAGGTGATTATGCTAAGTGAAAGAAGTCAAAAAGTAAAAGACAATTAATTACCAGCTAGTGGTACTCATTTGTGGAATAATAATTCTTAGATTCTGGGAAAAATATACTGGTTAGTAGAGGAGATGAGAGAGGAGGCACGAGGGGAGGGGGGGTATGCACACTAGTGAAGGTGTGCACATATGGAGGTATGAAATTGTTATCTCAAAATTATCTAGATCTATAAACAATTAGCAAACCTATAAAAATAATAAAGGGAAAAGAAAATTGTCTCTCAGAATTCCAACTCTTAAAAGTAAGAAAACACTGCATCATGTGTCTTACCTTTTTTGTCATTCTATAAAATGCAGTCGCAGTACTCATGAACATCATTTTTGAAAGGACGATCGTTGTATAGGAGGCAAAGGCCATGAACACTTCATTTTCCATTATCTGGGTGATGTCAGCCATTTTTGCAATGTTGGTCTGGGATTTTAAAAATGACTATAGACAAGATAGGAAAAAGTAGATACTATAAATAACCCAATAACTTGATAGCCACTTGGTAAGCTTATATTGCAGCATTAACCATACTATTCTTTAAAATAGCTTGGGCTATTTGCAGAAAAAAAAATGATCATTGAGATTTAGAACTTCAAAATAAATAGTATTATGTTTCTTCTAGTTGTATACCATTAACCTTGAAGACATCAAACAAGTATGGAGAGACAATGAAAACGCAAGGTCTGTTGCAAACAAAAATAAACAGGCAAAATGCTAAAATGCCATATTTTTGCATCAAGATGAGGCACAAATTGGACACACAAGACCAGAGTTGATGGAATTCTTTAGAAACATCAAAACCACATATTATACATCACAACACCACTAACATTGACTAGGAATGCCAGAGTGCTAAATTATGTCCTGCTTCAGAAACCCATGATTTGAATTCCAGTCCCAACACTTGACCATTAACCTTGGTTGAAAGATTTAGCCTCTCGAAGACTAAATGTCATCATAAGATGCAGTAGCTTCTCACTTATAGGATTGTTGTCAGGATTTAATTGACACAACATGTGGAATATATTTAGTATAGCATGCGGCTCAGGAAAACCCTCATTAAAATTTAGTTTACCGTTATCATGATCATCATTATCACCACGATCAGGCAACATTAATATTAACACAAGTGAAGAAGGAAAAGCAGGATAATGGGAACATAAATAACAGGCTGACAAATACAAGGTAAGAAATAGACATTTATGGTACGTTCATAAAAGGTATAAAGGAAGGATTAGCTTTATTAAATCCTTTAGGTTATTTTATATTGCACAGAATGTAACTGAGTCTGGAATTGAAATTATAACAGGACATGTTCTCAGGTGGAAAACTAAGGTTTACGAAGCAGATGGGAACTTAGAGTATAGCTTAAAATTTGAGCCCCCCCCCCATGATCTGGTAGTTATTCTTTTTAATCATCTCCTATATTATCAGTCCTGCTCTCTGCTGCCTCTATCTCTTCCACAGAAACACAAATCTTTTCTTGCACTCATGCTTAAGTGCTATTTAACTTGCTTAGTACAGAGTATTGTCTCTTCGAGGTGATGTCCATTCCTGCCTTTAAAACTCAATCTCTATAATGGGTGCAAAAGAAATCATGCTACATCCTCCCGAGTTCTCAGGTGTATGAGTAGTCGAAACAGCATCAAACAAATCAGCAAAAGAAAAACAATTTAACGACATACGTATGGAGAATTTACATGGTTGTAGATTCTAAAGAATGATGAACATACCATAAGTACGTATCCTACATTTGGGATTTAGGGCATCAAGGAAAAAGAGGGGGAAACATTACGTGACAGACAAGGAGCAGGTGACCTCAGACTTACACTGAGCGTAAAGATGAGATTCTTAGAGAGAGCATGTTTACTGACAAACCTAGATTTGGTTAAGATTCCCAAAGTAGGTCATAAAAGGGGGAGCAGTGATTGCTTTTTCTATTGGAAAAAGGGGCAGAAGCTTAGGAAATGATGATTTCTTCCATTAGGGAAGGGCAAAAAAGTTAGGCAAGGGCAGAAGCTTCTTCTAACCTTCAGCCCCTTGCTGCTCCCAACAATATGATTCTTTAAGTAAAAGAAATAGCACCCTACTCCTTACAACACCCCAACACCCCATATACCTGGGACCTTGATTGACCTCTAGATACCAAACCAAGGTAACAAGAGGTCTACACTGGGCCTATCGAGAAAAGTTTGGTGGGGATGGAGGGGACTGACCCCACACCTGCATGCAATCTTATTAAACTGATATCTATCAAACTGTGATCATTTTATCCATCTACCTGTAATCCATAAATTTATATATTTTTCTGCACTGTTACTGGTCATATAGCTGTCTACGTGTTGAATATTATCTAAATCACATATGTACATATATATTAATTTAATTAGTTAAATATGTGTCCAAATATGTACTTTATATGCACTGCCTTACATAGTCTTCATAATGCTAACATCATGATTCTCACCACCATGTTCAGTTTACAAATGGAAAAAAAAAAGGAATTAGAGAGGTTAAGCAGTTCATCTGGGACAGAAACCTGAGTCTCTGACTCCACATCCTGTATACTCAGCACACTGCACTTTCTTTTTTCAAGACACTGCCGACTGCTTAATTCAGATTCATCTAACAGGGGCTGAAGGACCAGTGGCAATACTGGCACTCCTGATTTCTTCTAATTAAGCCAGACGGCGGGTATCATTATTCCCATTTTGCAGATAAAGACACCTAGGCTCCCTAAGTGACCCCTGTTTTAAAGGGTAGGCTAAAAATGCAATCCTTCACTTTAGGCAAATAGAAACTATATGTTCTAGTTTTAAAAAACAAAACAAACACACATAACAAGTTAATCCACCTCGAGAATCAGGCGCCTTGAAAGCACAGAATGTTGGGTAAATTTTCAGAGCCAGGTAATACTTCTAAGAAGCTACTCTTGGTCTACCATTCAGAGGGGTGAAAGACTAAATAAATTGTACTATTCTTTTCAGCTCATGGAAAGTAATTAACTTAATAAAGGATTCCTTAGTCTTATGCTTCTGAACAGGGATTCGAAGAAACACAGTGGGGATGACAATAATAAAAAATTAAGAATCATTTATCAAGTTGGAAGTGCTACTATTTAGCAATTATTCTGAAACTAAAACAGTTTCTATGGGTATCTACTAATGTTCCCAGAATGAAATTAATTTAACAATGGAATAAATCCAAAGATTGTTTTTCTCGGTGAAAAATGAAAGCATAGAAAATAAGAGGAAGCCTTCCAGATCGGTGGTGCGAACAAAACACAAAGATGTCAGCAACTGGAGGAAAGGGCAGTGGGAGGCTTTCTCTTTAAATGTGAACCACACATTGAAAGGGCATTTCACAAAGAGAGTTTCTCAACCACCAGGAATGTGGCTAAGCTCAAGCTTGTGGCTTGGGAGACGGCCAAGGCTGATTCTCTGGTATCACACCCTCTAGTTCCAAGAACCGCCTCTCTGGGACCAACACTCCCAGCATATCTGAAGGCCAGGAGAGAGGGAGTAAAAGTAAAGCATCAAAAATGAAAGTCATTTATGGAGTAAGGTGATGGTCTGGACTTGTTTCTTCCGCAAATGATTTGTTATTAAGTTGCCTTGAGTTTGCATGATAGCTGGGCACTGCAGTTAAAATAAAAATTACTGCCAGGAAAGATGGTCAGGGAAGAGGAGAACAGTAATAATTATCAAGAGGGCAGATTATTAGGGCATTTGAGGATTCCAGGAATGAGATAGAAACAATCTAAGCAAAGTAAGCAGAGAAAAACATAAAACTTGGTTAAGAATCATGGAAGAGAAAGTGTGACAGCGATGAATTATGTATGCACAATGTGTTGTTCCCTTTCTTGTCCATTGTTACCTGGCATGGAAGAGAATATCTCTGTCTATCTGGGCATAGTCCAGGGTTCAGTTCTTGCATGGGGAGGTAAATCCTTTTGCAAATAGCAAAGTCTGAGCACGTGCATTCTGCACTTGCCTGCAGGATCTCCCCCTGCCACTCAGAACTGCGATTTACCTACTCTGGATCCTCAGTCACCTGTAAAACAAGGTAAATAATACCTATATTTCACAGGGTTCTTGCGAACATTCTTGTTAGCATTACATGAGTAATGTGCAAAGTGGTTAGAAGAGCACTGGACTCAGGTACACTTAGAAGAATTGGGTAAATTAATAAGCTCCTACTTTGTCCTGTCCCAGCCACCCAGGATACAGTTTTAAGTTGTGAAAAAAACATTTACATTGTTCTGAAAGTCTCTAAGGTAGTCAGCAAATATAATTTGTCTCTACCTTTACCAAATAAGCAAACTGAAGGTTGGGAAGGTAGAGTGAGTAATATGACCCAAATTCCTACTGAAGGGCCCAAGACTGGAACCCAGTTTCCTCAAGTGTTTAGTATGTGGGTTAGTCACCATCAAGATTAAGAATTCCAGACAGCTCTGACCTTTTGGGGACCTTTTCCTGTCAAATTCCATTTCTATCTTTTGTCCCCCCTTCTCCCACCTAGCCCCCAGAGTACTATCACAGTCGAGGCTCATCAGAGGAACAGTCTTGTGCTCTTCACAGGCTTTTGGCCAAAAAGAGCAAAGTCCTCTTCTTTTTTTGTAATGGCAGCCTGTCTGTGTCAATATTGAAAAAAACAGAAAAAAAAAAAAATGGGCACATATCCTTAAGGCCATGACTCTGCAATTTTGCCTCTTTGGGAACCAACTCAAAGAAACCACAAGATAAAGAAGAGAGAGAAGCTCATACAAAAGTAGGAGCTTATTAATTTACCCAATTCTTCTAAGTGTACCTGAGTCCAGTGCTCTTCCAACTACTTTGCACATTACTCATGTAATGCTCACAAGAATGTTCGCAAGAACCCTGTGAAATATAGGTATTATTTACCTTGTTTTACAGGCTACTGAGGTTCCAGAGCAGGTAAATCGCAGTTCTGAGATTGTTTATATGTTCTAGAATATCCTGGCCACCTAAGACTGGGCCTCCTGTGCTTCAGAGCTCAGGGGCTGGGAGCAAACAGCTGGTGACTCTGGGGGGTTGTGAGGTGAGGCAGTACTTAAAGGACTGTACTGACTTCCTCTTTCAGTTTCAGCGATTAAGAAACTCCACTCTAAAACACCGTTAAAAAAAAACAAAACTGTACTTAATCTGCCACAGAAAGCAACTTTCAAATTTCGATCAATTTACCATTTCAAAAAATGACCAAATATGATCAACATATACAGTCCAATTATTCTGGGAACAGTAGAGAACAGCAAAGCCCAATATCATCTGAGCTCCCAGGAACTGAAGCCCCAGGGGAGGCAAAAGGCACTTGGTATTGAGCTGCCCAGGTTCCTGGGGGCTCCAGGCTTGACCATTTAAGGCTGTTCCTGGAGGACCTGGGGAAGTTTCCAAGGCCCTACATGAGTGCAAGATTAGAGACCACTTGGCACTCATTTGGAGAGAAAGCAACCGAGAAAAGAGACACCGAAAGTGGCACTGGACTCTCAAGAGGCCTTGGGACTAGATCAAGGGGAAAAGGGAGACTGAAGTGACCAGGGCATCTTCTCTCTGCTGCCCTGGCCCAGGGATAGCCAGAATATCTCCCAAATATTTAACTCCCAAAAGTTCCCTCGCTCCTTTACTTCTTCCAGGAGACTCCACCCCTCCTGACTAGGGAGCTGAGAACCTTCCAGAGAGTTTCATTCTTAGCTTTCCAGTCACTTGTCTAGAATAGTATCACAGGAGCGAGCGCTATCTTTCAGTAGGTACAAAGTCCATCTGTCCAGGAAAGCAGAGCTGCTGAGGGATTTTACACCCTTGGGGTGAACAGAAGTGGCTTAAAGGAGAGAGACTTCATTTTGTCACACCATTTGCAGGCCCTCTTTCCTCCCTCTTCCCTCCCCTCAAAGTTCAAGGGTGCACACTCAGAGCAGAGGCCTTGAGAATCAAGAATGACTAATCATCCCTTAAACGTGAAAAGACACTCTCTCAAGTTTCTTTCCTGGAGTTTGCAATGGGAAAACTTAACCTACAGAGGGGTGGACACACGACTGCCTTTCAAAGGCGATCGACTGAAAAGCAAGCAAGCGTTGAAGTGAAAAGTTTCAGGGTGGCAGGGCTCTCTCCTACCCACACAGGGCTTCCCCCTCCCCCATCCGCCGCCCACTGCAAACCCTCCCAGGCACTTACAGCGAGGCCGGCGAGCGGGAGCGAAGCTGCAAACTCGTCCTGCGCGCGGGTGGCGAGAGCTCTGCGGGGACTTTGACAGCGCGGCGGGCGGGCGGGGCGCGGGCCACGCCCCCTCGGGCTCAAGTTCCATTTCTTCGCTTGGCGGAGGGGGGCTGGAAGCTGGACGCCCCACAGCCGCCAAGCCCCTCCCCTGCATCGCCTGACCTCTCTCTTGAGCAACCGCCACCTACCAGTTGCCCTCTCCAACCCCTACTTTCTGGCGCTAGTCGAAGCTGCCCCTGCCTAAACGCTGCTTGATCTTTTCCGAGGTCCATGTTCGCCCTGGCTCTGGGTGTCTGCAGCCTCCAACATTTCAGCTTGGAAGTGGGAAAAAAGGATGAGGCAGTTAACTTTAATGCAGCTGGAAGCAATTAAAAAAAAAAAATCTTAATGTTGAAGTTTGAAAGCATTAAAAGCTTTAGAGAGAATTCAGATCTCTAGGGGGAAAAAACTGAAAGTCATTGATAAAATTACCTTCCATTGAGTATCTGTGACCCTCGACAGTTTGCTTTCTCACTCTTTCTCATGTTCACATACAAAATGGAGCTGGAGAGATGACACTGAATCAGTTCATGACACAATCGGCTTAGAATGGTTTTGACAGGGCCTTGCGGGGGTGTGCTTTAGGAAGGCACGGTTCCTTCTAACGCTGCTGCCTAGATTAGACACGTGCCCAAGCTTCACGGTCCCTGCAATACTTATGGATTCAGCTTCTATAACTTTAAATAAAAATGTTTAAACATGTATGTTTCTGCTTTATGTTGTCCATGCGTGGTAATACTTCTTAAACATTTCCCACCTGCTCTCTGTGGTGTACTTGCTTTTGGTTTGGGTCCTAATTTTACTTCCTTCAGCAATGCCTCCAGGACTAGCTGTCTGGGATTGGATAGACAAATCCACTGTCTAACCAAAAAGGAAGAATTGTTAGTTTGTGCTAGGAAAAAGAAATGTATCACAAGCCTGATAAGAATTTCCAAATACACATATCAGCAGGAAATTTGGAAAATCTGGCACCAGAGGACATTCGTGTTTCATTTTCACATCTGTATCTTTTGAAAACTACATTTATTCACTTATCTCAGTAAAGTACACTGGAATCCTGCCGTATCACTAACTGGGAGAAGGAAGAATTTGAGATAAAAGACAATGAATGCCCACCAAAAGATTCTAGAACTATGAGTATTTAAAAGACTCTTCATTTATCATGAAGTGATAGAGCTCAAATCTTATGGATAGCATTAGAGAAAGGTAAAGAGAACTACAATTTAAGTAATTTGATCTTTAGAATTTTAGTGAGTGGTTCTAAACATGTTTTTCATAAGAAAGGAGCACTTCATCCAAAGTTCTAATTATAAAATGTGCCCAAACTATTAAGTAATTAATGAATAAATACTGAGATTCTGCCATGAAAAAGCCATGAATTATTGCCTATCTGTTCTCTCTCTTTCTCTCTCTCTCCCCTCTCTCTCTAGATACACACACATCTATACATACCCCATCTTTAACATATTAGTACTTGATTGCAATGAATTTATTTTTATTTTTTTTTAATTTACCACATTTACTTATTTTCTTCTTTTCAGTGGAAACAACTCCCAAAAGACCACTCTATGTTACAGTATAAACATCCAGGTACACTTATAAAATACTTCTGCCCTATGAGCTCACTGAACTCTCATAGCATCCCTGTGCGGAAGGTATTGAATTCACAAGATTGTAATGAACTTAATTTAATAGGCATTTATAGAGATACCTACAAGGTACTGGAGTTGATGCTAAAATTTAAAACTAAAATAAATAACATCAAATAACTGTGCTTGAGGAGTCTGCAATTTAGTAAGCACAAGGACCCAAAAAGTAAGAAGTTACACCTAAAGTCAAAAAAAATTCCAATGTAGAAAACAAAATTGGGCATGGATAGGGCACTAAGAAGAAAAAGGCTGTGAAAGAATTTATACTTTCTATTCAACTTTGTATTAGCAAGAGGCGCTGAGGTGAGTGAAGAAGAGAAAGCATTATTATTCAGCTTGTTTTAGTTTGGGTAAAGGGAAGGTTTCAGGCTTACAATCTTTCCCCTCACTACCATTTTAAACCTCCAATGAAATCTTTCTGGGTAACTTGATTCAAGGTTCAGAGCAAGGAATTCCTTAGCAAATTTTAAATAATTTCAAAGATCATTGATTTGGAGTGGTGAGAATAAAGGTCAATCAGCAAAGAGTAGCTACAACAACAAAGAAAAGAGAGATCAAATCAGAAAGGTCTGGAAGAAAAAAGCATTACAAGTCTAGTAGTTCTTACCTTTTAAAAAAGACAAAGGAAATATATTAGAAAGTGTCACCATCAACAGTAAGCAAGGCTTCCCATAGGTGGGAAGGAAGTGGGGACATGGGTGTCCATCACTCTCAATTGTCTCAGATATTGGTTTTTCCCCTAAATTTGAAGAAGAGGTACAAAATCTAAAACTTGAGTGCATACCCTTCTTGGATATTTCAGGAAATGTACTCGAGAACATGACTTAAAATTAGAGGAAGCAAAAAGTGAAATAAAAACTCACATTCTAAATTTATAAATTCTATTTTAGAATAATAATATATATATTTAAATGTCTAGAAAATTGTTTATTTCTTCCAAAAACCCTACAAAGGAGTTCTTATTTCTCCTGCTTTATAGATGAATATTCTGAATCCAAAGTGGTTTGGAAGTTGCACTAACTTCTGAATTTGGTACCTACAGGAAGTAAAAGTACCTACAATGAAAGGGAAAAGACTAGAAAAAGATAAACTAGTGAATCTAATTAAGAGAAAATGGTAAGCATACAGGATGGACAAGTAGATCAAAAAAACAGAAGAGGGCCTCCCCAGTGGCACAGTGGGTTGAGCGCCGCACTGTGAAGCTGTCTGCAGCCTTGGCAGTGTGGGTTCCATCCCAGCCAACTGGCGAGAATCCCACATGGTGCCACAGACCTCTCCTGTTGCACCTGCTGTTCCCCTCAGCAGTGTATTTCTGTCGTCTGCCTGTTCTGTTCCCCACTCTGTCTTTGGTAAGTCCTCTCACCATCCCGAGCCTCTGGCCTGTACCCCAGCTCTTGTATATATTTAAATAAATCTTTAAAAAAAAATAAAAAACAAAAAACAAAACAAAACAAAACAAAAAAACCAGAAGAGTTGAGATATGGAATCACACTTGATTGGTCAATTATATTCAAGAAAGGTATCAAGGCAATTCAGTGGAGAAAGGCAAGTTTTCAATGAATGGAAATGGAAAAACTGGATACCCATAATCAAGAAAATGTACTTCAATCCTTTGTTCACACGGTATACCAAAATTAATTCAAGATGGATGACAGACTAAAAGTCTAACATTGTAAATCTCCCAGAAGAAAACAAAGAAGAATGTCTTCATGACCTTGGAGTAGGCAAAGATTTCTTAGACTGGACAAAAAAGCATCATTTTTAGAAAAGAAAAAAAACTGACATATTGGACTTCCTGTAAATTACAGTGCTTTGCTCATCAAAAGACACCCCTAAAAAAATGAATGGACAATGAAATGACTGGGAGAAAATTCTCAATACACTTATCTGACAAAGCACTTGCATGCAAAAGATATAAAAAATAACTATAACAATAATTAAGAGATAAAAATATACTGTTAAAAATTATGCAAGTGATTTGACAGACACTTCACAAAAGAAGCTATAAGAACGGTTAAGAAGCATTTGTAGGGCCTCCCCGGTGGTGCAACGGGTTGAGCGCTGTGAAGCTGTCTGTAGCCTCTGCAGCGTGGGTTTGATTCCCGGCCTGCCAGGAAGATTCCCACATGGCATGGCAGACCTCCCCTCAGCAGTGTATTTCAGTCGTCTGCCTGTTCTGCTCCCCACTCTGTCTCTGGTGAATCCTCTCACCTCCCCCCCCCGCACCTTTGGCCTGTACCCCAGCTCTTGTATAAAAATAAATAAATCTTGAAAAAATTAGAAAAGAAGCATACGTAAAGGTGTTTAACATCATTTGTCTTCAGAGACCTAAATCAAAACCATAATGAGTTACTTCTCCCCAGACATTAAAATGGCAAGAGTGAAAAAGACAGACAAAACTCAAATTGATGAGGGTCTGAGGCAAATGGAATTTTCTTATGTTGCTTGTGAGAATATAAAATGCAACACCCACCCTAGGAAAACTGGTAGTTTCTTATAAAAATAGACCTATGCTAGATTTCAACAATTCTACTCCAAGGTATTATTCAAGGGAATTGAGGACATATAAACACAAGAAGGAATGGTGAAGAATTTCTTCTCAGCTATATTTGTAATTGCCAAAAACCGGGAAAATCTAAATATCCTTCAGTAGAATAGAAAAACAAATTGTGGCATATTCATATAAAACTACTAAACAGATTCAGCATATGTGAAAAATAACATGGATGTACCTCAATACTATGTTAAATAAAAGAAATGAGGCAGAAAAGAGTACATACTGTGTGATTCCTTTTGAAAAGACATTCAAAAATAAGTAAAGCTAATCTGATAACAGAAATGAGAAAATCAGTGAAGACTGGCTGAAAAAGAGCTTAAGAAAACTTTCTAGAGCAATGGAAATGTTCAGGATATTGGTTACAGGAGAGTATACATTTGTCAAAACTTAGCAACCTGTACACTTAAAACCCACACATTTCACTGAATACAAATTATGCCTAATAAACTAATTTTTAAAATTCACAAACTATATGAGACATGACAATGAGTTAGAACTAAAATAATGACTGACTTATCGCTACCAATTTCATGTCAATATTGGTTTGAAAGTACGGAAGGAAACCATAGGCAAACATGTCATAGAGGAGTTTGAAATACTAGATTATTTCTGTGTCTCTCCCTCTTCCAAGGAAAGGATAGATACTTGTTTTTCCCAGAATAGGGAAATTTTTAAGAGCAATAGTCTACCAAGGGTTAAGAAGGACCTCATCCTTTTCTTTCAAACAGTCAAGCAGCAACACCTAATCTTGCCAAGATCTTTTGACAAATGTTTCTGACAACACGGAGA